TGTGAAACGTGCATTTATCCTTATTGATATGACTTGCCCTTAAGAGGGAACCTGAAATCCACATGCTAGATTCGTGATCCCGCTTTTTATCGGCCAACTTTGATAGGTCAATCATGAGCCCTTGCAATTGACTATGGGCATGAGTCCTGTTGGATTGGTCAGAGAAGACTGCATGTGGGTCACAGATATTTAGCATTGGTGGAGTGCCTTAGGAAGTTGCATATTCTTGATCCATTTGTGCCATCCTCTTCTAAAATTACTGTCTGGTCTTTTAGAAAACTATGAAACCCTAAAAATAATTTTCCAAATCTTATTTATGCCCAAAGAACTTTTAACTTTTAACTCATTAAATTATTTTTTCAATGAAATTTTTCATTTTATTTTTTTTAAATTATTTCAAGGGCACATTTGATATTTAAAATTTTTATTTGGGTCTTTTTTAATGTAGAACCCATGTGGTGGTGGCGAAGGGGGGGGGCACTGGCCACAGCCCAACATGCAGGATGTCCCCACTATTGTGGAACATGAGGCTAATAACAGACTCAAGCTCCTACACATCTTCCAACCTCTCCTCGCTCCTATGTGAATAGGATTGGTTGAGAGGGAGGGGGGGAGAGAGAAACAAACAGACAGAGAGAGAGAAAGTTAAGGGATTTGATTCCCAAGATAATTTTTTTAAAGAAGATGATTTTATTTTATCAAAGTTGTGGAGATAGTATTTTTAAAAGAGGGTAACGTTTCTAATTAGATTTGGATTCCTAAAGGAATTTTATTTCCTATGGGTATGGAACTTTTGCTAGAAATATTTTTAGAATATTTAGAGTCCTAATCCTATGAGAACATGGATTTTATGGATAAACCTAATCCTAGTGGAACTAGAAGAGGATATGGTTCAAGGATCTAAGGGATAATGGTTCCTTCATAATGTTGGTTGAACTAAGGACTGGATAGCTCAGATTGAATCTTTTCACCTCACATATTACCTCAGACTCCTTGGTCAAAGTTGAATCCTATTTGAAAATGGCAACCCTAAAACCCCAGAGAAGCTAATATAAAGGCGGTCCCCCCTCCATTCTCAACACAGTTTTTCTAGCCTCTCGCTCTCCTCCTCTCTCTCTCCTCCATGCCCTATCTCTCCCATCTCTATCATCCCCCTATCTAGGGTTGGCATGCACCACCCACCTATGGTGGCACATCCCACCTAGGTACTCCTAGAGAGGCACGCCTAGCCCAGAAAAAGTCAAGGGGTTTGAGCCACATAGTCGCATGCTCCAAACAAGTTTAAACAGTTGAAAGGAAACCCTAATTTTTCAGAGGGATGAAAAGAAACCCTAATTATCTTTTATGTGCGCTTAGCCCTGTTTTGAGTTAGGATTGGCCATAGCAGCTTCCCATCTTGTGAGAGGATTCAGCAGGACCATAGGATCAGTGCGCCATCAGTTAGGTAATTTGGCAGTGAGGTGTACTAAGTACTATAGAGGTGATCCTAATTAGAGGAAATGTTTGAATTTATACACCAGGAAATTCTACATAGCCAACTTTCAAAGATATTCTGATGAAGAGGACAAGGATGAAGTCACCATAGGCAAGAAGCAAACGGGCGAAAACGCATGTGTCTTAAGCTTGATGAGGTTATCAAATTTCCCTTTAAGAGTGTGTTTGATAACACAGATTTTGGAAGTAGGAGTGGAACATCCCACTTTCACATTTGATAACAAGGAGATTTTGGAAGGGCAGCATTCCACGCCCTTCCATACAAATGAGAGACTCCCTTCCTCTCCCATAAATTGCACATATCAAACACACCCTAAAGCAGTTCATGTCAGGAGAAAACTTTTGAAGAAATAGTTAGAAGCAATCAAGGATACAGGCATTTCTACCAATGCAGTTCTCAAACAAATAGATGTACTTGCTCCGGATGCAGAACACGTAAAAAAATTCCTACCCAAGTAGCAAAACGCTCTCATTGCCAAATATGAGGAGATCTACCAGGCATGCAACCCCATCTTTTGTGAAGCTAATGAAGCCCTTAATGAGCAGAAACACAATCCCACAGGTGTGCATTCTAAAGAACAGTAAAGTGATAAAAGGTTCGTATTTTGAAGAAGAGGATTATCGAGTTAGAACAGGAGCTTGCTGTTGCCGAAGGGGGGGCCAACAGTCAAGCATGAAGCTGTGGACTCCGTCAGAATGGAACATAGAGAATCAGTAGAAAAAGTTTGTCAGCTTTGCAAAGAACGAAATAATGATCTCTGCCAGCTGGCTGAGCAGAGGGAGAAGAAGGAGAAGATGATAGAAAAGGTTGCTGCTGCCAAGGCCCATGGCGAAGAGCTTGCCAACATGATCAAAGCCAGACAACACTACTTAGGACATTGGCGAAGAGACCTTCACATTCCCTTTCCCCAATTATTTTTATTCTCAGAACAAACCCTTTTTTTGTTTTAAAGAAGTCTTCCACTATTGTCGGTAATGAAACACAATGATTTCATTCATTTCTTTCTTCTTCTTTTTTATCAACCTTCTTTTGTTCTATATTATGAGCTTGTTGTCCCCTTGGCTTAGCGGCATTCAGCACATTCCATATGGAAGATTTACTTCACAGTTTATGCTTATGTCACTAGAAGTATATGACATGCAGTCTAAGGTCATTCAGTAAGGACCGTACATAGTTTGCTTACTATTTTTAGGCCTTCGGATTTCGAGGAAAAGCAGGGATGGGAGGCCATTAGGTTAGTGAGCTCTACTATGAAAGTGACAGCTCAAGCTCAACCATGTGGGCCTTGAAGTTTTCTTGCTGTTAGGACATATATTCAATTCTATTGCATTCAATATCTAATTTCATTATTTTGAGCATTCAACTAACTCCGCCATGGCCGGTCATGAGGTCCCAACTCTCAGGTGCAGACAAAGGAGGATTTTGTTAGTTAGGACACAAGTGTAAAACTTAGCCACATCTTTTCATGAATCCTGAAACTATATTATATGCTCATGCTAGGGCATTCCCTGTAAGGTCTGACTAAGGGTATGCCCTTGATAGAGAAGAATGGTGAAACAAAATCCATGTAGCTAACCCCAAATAGTTGGCATAAAGCTCGGTTGATGACAATGATGATGATGATTCTGAACGTTCAGCTCCTACCTGCCAGAATGTGGGAAACAAGAGGCCATTTTGTGCAGTCATGAACTTTTCCATCAAGGTAGGGATCACACTTGGGCACACAGTTTTTGCATTAATTTCATTCAGCCAGGGCACACAGTTTATACATTAGTTGAAGGAGCTTAACATTACCTTTGTAGATGCCCAGGACTTAACATTGACTAAAGACAGTTACAATGTACGTAAAGAAAACAAAAACAAACACAAACTCCTGGTCGGACTCTAAATCAAATGGTATCAGCCTGTCATGAAATTTGGATGATAAGCTATTAAAACCCCAAAAATGCATCAGACCAAGTCTCATACTGATCGGAGCTGATTTGGTAATGCTTTGGAGTTCATACACGGCGTAAGCTGGTTTAAGCAAGGCAGTACTAGATGATCCATCAAATAGTGTCAAAACCTCTTGAAATTTAAACAGCCAGGTCATGAGCCCAGTCTCATCTGCACTACAATTTTCAGATCATTGGGAGCCATATTGATGTGGTTTTGAGTTGGCCCCTGGTCCTCCACATATGAGGTCTCTCTGCAAAGGAACCAAGCAAGATGAAATAGCAGTAAAATGCCAGAGAGGAGAATCGGAGCAACAAGGAGCAGTGCTGTAATTCAGGTAGCACAAGAGCCCAAATGTGCGCCATGTCCCAGGAATTGACCAGTCATCCAACTCCTCAAAGAACAGACATTTGGGTTGAATACAAAACAACTACCATGAATGAGACCATCAACAAAATTGTACATTGGCAGAAATGACAGGAACAAAAAATATATTGAACAAGTAAAAAGGGGACATAGCTAACCAACCTGAGACAAAATGGGAATATTATAAATAGCAGAGGAAACTAACATAGAACGACTTGAACCCATAAAGTTAAGTAATGAAAAAGGACGAGCGTGCAGAACCCTGGCAAGAACAACACTCGGCAGACTATATGACTTATGCTCCTTTAGGTTTTTTAAATTTTGTGTGCAGCGTAGCTAATAGATCAATGAAATCAATTATGACTTCCCCACAAGTTGGTTAGCTACCTCTTTTTTTCTTTTCTTTTTTTCCTAGGGTTTTTTCTATTTGTGAGCACACGTGAAGGACCCGTGCAGCTGCAGCAAGATTTGAAAAAGGAATTGATTGTGATTTTGAACCTGTTATTTCCATGACTCTTCATAACTGAGACGGTAGATAAAATAAATGAAATAGGCATCAATTTGGATTCCATAGTACATATTTGGATAATACTACCAGTCACATGACTGGAGAGACTTGCAAGTACTATGTATTAGATGGTCTAGAAGCCAGCAGCATCGACAGACATTTCACTTCAGAAAGGGCATAAAAGAATATAAACTTTCAGAACACTGCCACAATAGAATACAGTTTTTGAGAACACCTAGCAAGAAGCACCAATAGCATATTATAAATAACTCTTGAATTTCAAGATCGTGGTAAAATGTGTAGAAAATCACAAAGGATTACTCCAAACTAAAAGACAACTTCTCCTAAGTATCTCACATGTATCTTTTGGTGCGGTATATAGTTGTTAATGACTATAGAAAACAGCTATTACTATTAATACTTTTAATATTTGGTAATCGCATAATATGACAGGACAGTTAATTCTACACTGATGCCAATAGATGTTCTAACTTTCATAATTAAGGACCGCCCTAATGATAATATAGTAGCTTTGTATGACACATCAGAAACAATAGCATGTTACTTTTAGAGGTTACTGCCACTAGATGGATATCTGATGTATATCAACTCAACAAATGAAGATTGGGATAAGAAGATCAAGGAAAGATAAAAATTAAGAAAAAAAGACAATGGAATTAGTGTGAGAGAATTCACCAAGATCCTCAATATTGGGTATTGTGGCCGAAACAGCTACAAATCGAACATGAGCCATGGGACTCAAACTCATTTTAGGGTTATGAGCAAGCATTTTTATTCTACTAACTATTGCTTCCAGAGCAGCTCCTCGTGGATCACTTAGAAGGTGAACTTCATCAATGAGTAGGAGTCCAATATCTCCAAAAAAACTTAAGCCACCATCCCTTATCCGTTGCCGCGTGACAGCATCAAACTTCTATATATATCAAAAATAAATAACATCACCTAAAGTGCTCTATCACTTATAATTTACTGCAAAACTAATCGCAGGTAGATAAGATACATATTAAAATGACATTCTTAATGAGAAGAAGAATAAGAGAAAGTATTATTCGTCAAAAAAAAAACAAATTTTTTTCTGCAGTTTCCTTTGATGATGAATACCAACCTCCGGAGTAGTAAGAATGATATCAGCTTCTTGCAAGTTGTTCGCATCATTGGATTCACTATCACCTGTGAGCTCTAAGCATTTGATTCCCCATGAACCAAGCTTCTGGTTCCAGTCCCGAAGCTTTTCTTGGACTAAGGCCTTTGAAGGCGCTATATAGATCTTCCATAATTATTAGAACAAATTAGTTTCTATTAAGTCCATATGACCTAGAAATTCTGATCCTTAATAAATGTAACACTACATGTACGCAAAATCAGAAAAAATAAAAGGTAAGCGCGAAAGAACATGTCCATTTCCATTAAGAGAAGATATCTCCTAGATGAGATCATTATGCTATTATATTCTCACACAATGTAGAATCATCTCTCCACAAACAAACAATCTCAACTTCTGAAAGTACAAATGGAAAACATATAATCGATAAAAACTAGTTGTAGGAAGCTTACTGTTTTGAAGATTCCTTTTATATGAACGAACTTTTCCTCCGGAGTGAGGAACCTAGAAAGAAGTCTCAAAATACAAAGCTCAAATAGCACAGTTTTACCACTCCCAGTGGGTGCTGAGATAACCATGTTGATATCTGAGAGAAAACAGCCTGAAAAGCAGTCACTCTGCAAAGAATTGAAATACCTGCTATTGAAAATGAAATATCATTAGTGGTCCTTAAACCAATCAGGAAATCTCATGCATTCAAGAACACCATCTCATTTTTTGTACAATACCTGAAATTAAAAGTTGATTGGAAAGATGCTGGAAGATCCAAAACTGACTTCAAAGAGTATGAATCCATAACCGAATTGATCCTATTGGTACTCCACATTAGAGTAAATGAATCAATTTAGAAAACCATTGAAATGATGAATTCTCACAAAAGTATATTCTAACATAAATTAATTCATGATTATCAAAGAATCAGTAATCACTTTGAATTCAGAACAAAAGTGTGTTAGTGAATAATGAATCAGAACAAACAAATAATTCCACAAATGACATTTACTTTTTGTAAATTACAAAATTCCTTTCAAATGCCAAGAAGCCGAGAAATTTGCAGAGCTTAATAAGGAAAATTCCAAATGCTAAAGTCTAGTTTCTCTTCTGAGTGTGCTCCACGTGAGAGGGAACTTCAATAGTTACCCGCTATACGAGCAACGAAGCTTCAAATTCCCTTCGTGCGGTAAAGATGTAGGAAGAGTTCCAACTTTTAACGTATGTTACTTAATAATGGAAAAAGTTTATATAAGTATGCTACCCTATAATGTAGAACCACGGATGCGCCTCAAAAAATCTTTCGGAAAAGGTTATTTTAATGTTAAAAAACCTTGATCATCTCGACATATGTATGACTATGAAAAATAAAAAAAAATTAAATCTCATAAATAATACATTTTACTACATATTATCTATGCCATCCATTTTCAAGATTTTAATATGATTATCAATGGTTTAAAAAGCAGATCGGTGACCCTGAATCGGGCACCTCAAAAGCCGATCCGGATCGACGAATCGGTGATTCGGATCGGGAAGCGCGTGAATCGGTCAGAATAAAGCTTCAAAAAAATCCGAAAAAATTATTAAAACTCATTATAAATATTGTTTTTTAGGAATTCAATAAGAAATGAGGGTACTCCATTAAGAATTTTCATGTTTTTGTATGAATATGCGAATATTGATATGTTCTTTCCCTACATGAACTACTATTCAGTATTTAATTTACATCACACAAAAAGATAAACATAGAATTATCATGGAATAAGTATATCAACATACATGGACTACAATAAAAGCATACAATTAGTAACATACGATCTAAAAATAAAATGACAGACGACGTTGTTGTTCTTCTTGGTCACGCTGATGTCATTGATTGAATTCGTTTGACAATTCATTGATTCGATCTAAAAACGAATCATCGATATTTGCAGGCGTCTAACTATACCTAAATCCCTGAGTGTTAGTGTTTTGTTGTGTTCCCAATCCAAAATCCCTGAAGCTTATCCATCCTTCATGCTCACCTACACTGTCGTGCTCATCCCTACACTGTTGTTGTTGGGACTCGATATGTGAATAATATGGCTGGGATAGGGTGGCCTCAGAATCATCGTCTCTCGCATTTTCTCTTAGACCCCCTTCCCACTCTCCCTCATTAGGTGCAATATCACCGACATCTCCGACGAATTGTGGATACGTTGGCTGGCTGCTTCCTCTTTCATGCTGCTCATCACCTTCTTCAAGATCTTCTTCACCGATAGCCTCAAGGAACGCTCTCTTGTGCAACACTGACTCCTCCTCTTCTACTACCCATTGGTCTGCTGTGTCTGTGACAAATATTGTGTCTAAGTCTATCGGCCCATAGTCTTCAAGCTTCCTTCTTATTTATCGCTCTCGGAGGTTTAAATTATAATGAACGTACACTAGTTTATGAAGCTTCTCAGAAGCAAGTCGATTCCTCCTAGTAGCGTGTAACCATTGGAACGTACTCCAGTTACGCTCACAGTCAGTAGTAGAACATGTCTGGGAGAGCACATTGATTGTTGTCATCTTTAGGTGAGGTGCATCAATACTATATATCTCCTGCCATTCAGTTGGATTAAAATGCAAAAGGCATTGTAAGGGCAAGAACAATTCATAAGATTAAATGTATGAATGAACAAAATATTGGCGAGGAGATAACTTGGATCCATCATACTTCGAGAATTCCTGGCAAGTCTAGTTCCGAAGGATCCTATAGCATCCTTATACATAGCAAGCTAAAACAAATATATTACGTTTTAGTACATTATTCCTCACAAATATAACAACTCAATGAAGTTCTTACCCAAACATTAAATAATACCTCTTGTATTGCTGCTACTTGGTTTCGATGGCTTCTCACCAACCTTGCAATAATGTATCTAACCCCTTCCATAATCTTGTGGGGATGTTCAGGTGTCAAACAGAAAAATTTTAGGTTGAAGTAATAACATACAAAATATATAGATAGAAAAATGTCATTTACAATTTCATAAAAAAATGATTTAAAATGAAACATTATAATAATATAAATATCTATTTACCAACATAATGAATTGGACGTCCAAATTTGGTGTTCCACTTCCTTTCTATAATCTCGATCACTTTGCTAGCAAAACTACACTTCTCCCCAATAGCTGATTTCACCCTCTCAACACCTTCATAAAGGATACCCATGGTAGCTTTCATGTCAGCATCCACCATTCTTAACACCGTGACCAAAGGGGCAGTGGCCTCTACAACACTAGAACATCGAGATCATAACCGCCTATTTGAGACTATGTTGTCCACTTTTATATCGATACTGGACTTCGAGAGGCGGTCATTTAACCACTCTTCACAGGTAAACAATCTCTTTAATGCACCTTCAGATTCTCGAATGGAGTCCACAGCTAAGTAATCGGTCGCAAAGCAGGTTATGGCAAGCTTGATTATCTCTTTTTTCTTAGAGTGTTCTCTAAACATAAATAAAATTTTAGAGTGGTTGTATATAAATCTCGATACCAACCTTGCTTCCTCTAGAGTCTCCTTCACAATTTTGATCTCACCGATCTCCTCTAACATAAGATCGATGTTGTGTGCAGCACACGAGGTCCATACTAGATGCTTCCTCTTATCCATCAACTTGCTGCCCGTAGAAACACATGCATGCGCATTGTCCGTAATAAACTGGACTACATACTTATCTCCCAGCTCCTCCACTATCTGATTATATAGTTGTACGTAGAAGTTTGCATTATTCTTCATCCCTGATACGTCTTTGCTAGACAAAAAAGCTGTACCTTTTGGAGAATAGGCCAAGAAGTTTAAAAACTCCATTTTACTAACTTTATTCAACCAATCAACTGTCCTTAGCCAACTCTGTTTATATTCTTCAATCCACTTTGTAACTTCCTCCACCTCTTCATCTAATAGTGGCCCACTGAGCTCATATGCCGTCGGGGGTTTTACCCGGGGCCCAGACTCTCTGGATTACACTGACCATAGGTGGAAAATATGGGCTATTGGCTGCATAAAAGGGAATCCCTTTATCGTAGAACCATTTACCAACATATATCCCCAACATGTTTTTTGTACCTTTAACCATGCCTTTTAGGGTCATCTGTTGTGACTTAGGCTTTGAGAGAAATGGGTCTTTACGACCATGACCTGCAATATTGGCACTCTTAGGTAACCTAGAAACAATTTCTTCAACATCTGATTCTCCTTGATACATATTGTCACCAACCCCTCCATACATATTTGAGCTGGGCCCGCCATACATGCTAGAGCTGGGCCCGCCATGCATGTCTGAGCTAGGCCCACCATGCATGTCTGAGCTAGACCCACCGGGCATTTTAAACCCACGTTCCCTCTGATATTGTTCGTATAAACTCAATCTTGTGGCCATGTCTAAGTCATTATTATATTGCTCTTCTAGGTCATTATTATATTGCTCTTCTGTATCATTCCTGCTTAATGGCGTATATAAACTAGCTATCTCCCCACTCATCCTATGTTTGACAATTTTTTTACCTTTGTTAGCATTAAGAATTGCCGCTATTACTAAAGACACTAGTGCATGCAGAAACATCTCCTTTAACCCCTGCCAAGTGTTTCTTGAACCTATGTACCCCACTACTTATCACTCTTTGACAGTAATTATAAATAATTTTGTCTTTTTTGTTGGGATTAAGTCTGACCCCATGTTGCCATGCAGGGTCTTCTTCAGATCTTGACATGATTCAACTGTTTTAAGATGTAAAAAGTTAAAAACTAACCTGACAGTTCAACAACAAAAATAATCACCATGTGTAGTGATAATATGTTCGGGTAGTTCATGTAGTCATATTTGTTGTTATTTGTTATTACAAAATACCTCTATTGATAATAATATTTTTGTACATATCAATTACAAACATTCAGGATAATATAATACAAAATGCAAGCTCCAAACATGGATACAACTCAATAATCAAGAACATACATTTTTTGCATTAAAAAATTAATAATAAAAACAATTCTTCACGGAACCACCTAACATCAGCCATTCCAACTAAAAAATGCATTAACAACGGATTAAAAAAATACAGTTTTGCATTAAAAATATAATAACATGCATTTTTTTGCATAAATAATCTATCAACATACAATATTTTCAAAATAAACTTTAACAATAAAAATTTAAAATATGGTTTAATACCTAAGGATAATTAAAACCTTATCACGATTTTCATATCTTTTCGAAAAATCATCATTTTTCAAAAAATTTGATCATGGAAAAAAAAAAATAGTACAGCAAACTCAAACAATAAAAATTAAAAATTGGGTTTAATACATCATGATAATCAAAACCTTATCACGATTTTCACATATTTTCTGAAAATCATCATTTTTCAAAAAATTCGATAAGGGATAAAAATAAATTAAAAAAAAAGTACAACAAATTTTAAAAAAATTCGATCACGGATTACAAAAACAAATTCGATCATGGATTGAAAAAAAATATTAACAAATTTTCAAAAAATTCGATCATTGATTACAAAACAAAAAATTTGATCACGAATTAAAAAAAAAAAGTCACAAATTTTCAAAAAATTCGGTCATGGATTAAAAAAAAAATCACAAATTTTCAAAAAATTCGATCATGGATTACAAAAAAAAATTCGATCATGGATTAAAAAAAAAATCACAAATTTTCAAAAATTCAATCATGGATTACAAAAAATTCGATCATGGATTACAAAAAATTCGACCATGGATTACAAAAAATTCGATCATGGATTACATAAAATTAGATTATGGATTACAAAAACAAAAAAAACAAAAAATTCGATCATGGATTACAAAAAAAGAAAAAACAATTCGATCATGGATTACAAAAAATTCGTTCATGGATTACAAAAAACAAAAAATTCGATCATGGATTACAAAAAAACAAACAAACATTTCGATCATGGATTAGAAAAAATTCTTTCATGGGTTGCAAAAAAAAAAAAAATTCGATCATGGATTACAAAAAAAAAAAAAATTCGATCATGGATTACAAAAAAATCGATCATGTATTACAAAAATTCGATCATGGATTACAAAAAAAAAATAAAAAAAATAAAAAAAATTATGTTGTTCACAAAGCCATCTCACATAAGCCATTTTAACTCAAAAATGCACCTCTAAGCTAATAAATTACATCTAATTGAGTATATTTTCTGATAAACAACAATATAAGGAATCA